CTTTCCTTTAGCAACATTAGGTCGTTCCTTATATCTGATTTGTACCCATTTATTAGCTTTCATTGGAATAGCGATCAAAGTTAAGTTACACATAGTGTGGGATCCTGGATGACTACCGACAGATTGTGCAGCTAGGTTGTTGTTCCTGTTAGAAACGGACCTAACAATACATTGAGGTTTTCTAGGCGTTTCCTGCTCGTTGACATTTGGAGAGCGGTGGATAAAAAAACCTTCAATACTACGGCTTTTATTTTCAACAAATCTCTTTATAAGTCGCTCTTAATCCGTTGGCCCATGTAATTCAATCGACCCATAACTTATTCAGTGTAACTTCACATGACTTTGCGTATCGGCCGAACGAGTACTGTTTGATGTGCCTCGATTACGCTTGGTAATATTCCTCCAAGCAGAATCCTCCAATTTTAGTGGCTTCGCGTTTGAACAGCGTTTGTAACACAACCACAAGCAACTATTTTAACAAGCCGTTTGAAAGCTACAGGGGTCTTGTTCGTAGAAATTTCATGGTACCGTAATTTGCACTCATCGCACTGTATTCCACATTCCACAGTGCATCAACAGCATGAGCACTGACTATTGCTTTTTTACACCGATTGGTCAATAGTCAGAGGTTTTTAAAAAGAAACTAGGCGCAAACAATATCCACAGAGAAAATGGTCAGAAAAAGTGAAAAACTAAATTTTAAGAAACAAAAGTGCAAATAAATACAAAATGAACCAATGTACTCAAAAGTTGCTGACGATAAAACACTTCCAATAAAACGATACTCTTGACGAATACTGACGGAAATAAATTCAGTTAAAGCGAACAGAATAGTTATGATGCACAACAAACGATCAAAGCAATAAAATTAGCTGACCGAGGGAAATTACGATTGTTTTTATATCCCATTTACGTAAGGCTGAACCTAGACTACTGTGTCCAAGCATCCATTCCACGTCTTATGAAGGATATTGACTCAGTCGAATGAGTTCAGCGTGTATGAGCACAATTAGTGAAGGATATTTCCAAACTTCCATAAGCCGAGCGCTTAAATCTCTAGAAATTTCCCCCTTGATCATATCGGAGAACGCGTGATGACCTTATATTGTAACCCCATATCTTTAATAACGATGTTATCCTCAATATACCTCATCGTTTTACTCTCTCTAGAAATAATCACTTCTGAGTCCATTCTGAGAAGGTTCAATTACCGTGATCTCATAAATTTAGAATGAGTTTTCGTTTTTCTCATCGAGTAGTCAGTATCTAGAGCGCTTTTGTTGAACGTGGTATCAACGTCATCAGGAAGCATTTTTAGGGAGAAGACGAATCTTCACTGAAAAACAAGCTGCAAACATTAACACAGGACCATAGATATATTATCCTTCTTATTGAAGAATTGCTTCGTGAAAAAAGCTTTCAGAATACCTTTTATAATTATTTCGAAGAAAATCTACGTCAAAATATATTCAGCACTCACTCAGGAAATAAATGGAAAATATTGGGCTTTGTTGATAACCTAAGCTATCTTGACATGACTTCAAGGTCAGGTCGGAGCTCAATTTTTTTTTGTTTCACGTAAGTGTTGTAAATCTGGGCGGTTTCGTGTGGAATATCACCTTGTTCAATTTAGTCGTCTTATTAATTTTAAGCACTACTAGTCAATGTAATATGTGTCGATTTCTGGTCGGTTGAGTAGATAGATAAGTGTTATTGCGTAATAACCTAAAGTCCGCGCAGGTCACATTCAGCACTTTGGCAAGGAACTTCCCAACGTCATATAATTCTTACCACAAACACACGAGATACCTCGTGAAGACTTGCATGAGGACGTGCTTTGATTCAACTTTGAGTTCCAACGAGAACCCAATAAGACATTGCAATATTTCCTTTTATCACAGTGAGTTTGAAATGTCTCTGAATCTACGCCTAATTGTCTACTTATCGCCTAAATACACAACAACTTGTTAACTTTATGCACGATTATTTGTTAGCCCAAGTACCTATGTTCTTTGCTTCCATCACAAAAAGCATTTAACACAGTATACTGCATTTACAAAATTATAGTTTTAAAGAAATATTTACAAGAAGTGGGTTCACAGTTTACGAGATCAATAGCTGGGAGGTGTTCGTTACACGTCTTCTTTGTTAGTGCAAAGTTTTGCTTTCATTGACAACTTTGAGGTTAGGAGTGACGATATAATTTATGGGTGGCATTTGGGCTTTCCATGTTTAAAATGAGATCATAAGTAAATGTGAAAAGTTAGCATTATGAATCACGGTTAGAAATTAGAATTAGGTCTTTACGAATTGATAACAGCCATTATGCTGGAACACTGTTAACCCATATAGACGAGTGAATTTCGCGCCGAAGTTCAAGTGGTTGTGTGTGGAACTTGGTTGAGTCTTTCATTAATTGTAGTTCCTGTGAGACGAGCAAAAATAGGGAACCTCAGTGTTGGTTCGTACAATCAGATATGAATAGATATAAGCCCTTTCAATATCTTAGCTTTTTTTCTGCATAAGTTTTAAAATGTTTCTTAAATTCAGTCATACTCCGATGTGTGCTACTGATGTCTATATATATGTGGTGTCACTAATCAGAAGTAGAATGCCTGGCGGCAAAAGGCTGAGAAGATCGAAAAGAGGAGAACGAGAACAGAGTGATTAGTATGAAAAAAGGAACAAAAAGTCCGAAACAATTAATGAGTAATTTGCAAATGAAATACCTACTGTATGGTGATTAGTTTTGTACTGTTCCTTTTTTTACAGATAAAGGTACTAAAAAAATATCCCACTCTTAGTTTTTGCTATCACGCCTTTAATGTTCTTTATTTCTAGGTAATACATCAGGTACGTTTCCTGGGATACATTGGAAATGGACTCACTTTTGGCAAATATAAAATACTCAAGGGACGCAGTTATTCCCTTAATGAGTTTTGCGAAGAAATGGTAAGCACAATATTGATCAAGTACTTACATTACCAGGCGCCGACCAGCTACAGCTTGGACCATTACCGCTGGTATGCTGTTCGTTTATATTACCGATTGGAAAACGATATGCACTCGGATTCCATTTTATAATCGTAAATTCTTGGATTCAGATGAATGAAACATTGTTTAATTTCAAAGCGACCTGAAGACTTAAAAATAAGGAAGCACGCAGTTCCTCAGAAATTTTTCCAGTCAACTAGTTGATACTATAGCACAGTGGTTTTAACATTTAGCATATTCCAGAATACATATTTATTAGAATTAAAACTTTAAAAAGGGATAAATTGTTTCATTTTGGTTCTTTAATTATAGTTTTCCTTAAAAATATCAGCGAGTGTTAAGTCTATGTGTTCTCAGGACACTTCCAAATTCTTTGTTAATTTTAGGAAACGCGGCTATATTTAAATTATTAGTGCAACTATAAAATAATGGAAAATTGTGTACTAAAATGAAAATACTTTGGGATAAACAAGTTTGCTACCTTCAAGTAGTCAGATGAATTATTTAGTAAATCACAAGAGACAATAATTTTATTTTATTTGAACACATAAATATTGTTAAGAAGGGGCATCGAATACATATGCGCCACACAAGTCGCTTGATTTGTATGTAGGCTGTGACACTGTATGGCTGCGTGGAATAAAACAAATGAGTCGTTATTTGTTAAAATAAATAAATTTACGTTATTGAGATTAGTTTCAAGCTGCGTCCTCATGAGACCTACCCGTCTCAAACAGTTGTCGACTATCATTGTTGTGCTAATCATCCTTAAATATATCATCTAATTGTGGAATAGACTATAATCTAACATGGTATTTAGCTAGCCACTTCAGTCGTTTTCGATGTTTTATTCGTTCTATTCAATTTGTCCTACGTGAGCAAAACACTAAAACTCATAGTGTTTAAAGGTAAGATTATTTTGTAATGATCCCGCACAGATCCTGTATCTTATCAGGAAAATCTGATTCGTACGTATTTTAGATCCAATCTTATCATAAATCTCTATATAATTTTGTGGGCCATAATAAAAGATATTTTAGGTTAGTTTTCGTGTTATGATTGGTCATAACAGACAGGAGCTGAGGAGAGAAATAATTTTAGTAATTTCCTACAGTTGTTGGCAGTCACTGTGCTACTGGTTATGGTGGACGTTATTGGTCTGATTAACACAATGAGAACTACCTGTTAGTGGGCCGAAAAACGAATTAATCTTCTTTATTGAGATCACGAACCAATCCAAGTTAAACTGGTATTGAAAATCTAGAACTTTCCGTCCTAGTGTGAGGCACGTCAGCAGTGTATTGACAACTGGAACTGTTCTTGCACGCGAATGCCTTAGCTTTAGACAATTGGTCTGGAACCCAATGATGTTTGGTCGCACAATATTGTGGATTTATTGAAGTTAAACTTGAACACCATTTGATCACGACTTTGTGGTCTAGAGGTAAACATCCGCGCACGAGGGTCCCGGACTTGATTCCCGTTGTGAAGTTATGGACACGCAAGGCTGGGAAGCCCCATCCTAGGAAAAAAAGTCGCTCAGTGCTCCTAGCCTTTTAATAGTTGTAAGACGTTGGTCGGTTTGTGATTTCAATAAAATTCAGCAACCTCTACAATTCTATACCGACGATATATATAATGTTGAATTCACAATTAGACCATATTTTTTACGTACAGTTTTTTCCACTTCAACGTCAGTAATTCATCTTGTTAATTTAATTTCATCCTGGTATGATGTAGTGACTGGAATCGATTCATATTATTTGCGTGAGGTTTTAGGTTATTAATTGACTACTGAAAAGCAACAAGTTTGAACTATTTCATTTTGACCAAACAAAAGTTGAAGATTGAATATTTTATAAACTGGATATTCATTTTAGTACTTTTTTTATAAATAAAAAACAAAGCGCATCAAAAATACTCTTTCTGAATTTCCGGAAGTAAGACTTCAAAGAAAACAGAGTAATGATGACAATGAGACATGGTAATGTTCTTCATTATCTTCATCATATGGGGGTTATTGTAAAATTACTTATAGATTTAATCGAGAGAATAAATGGTCCTTCTTGGCCAGGTCGATAAGTGGAAACAATTACATTGTATACACCACCAGAGAGACCAGCTTGTTCTAGAACAACATATCCTCTTCTATAAATAAATAAGAGAATTTAAAGTCATTGACTATTGAAAATGGGGTAATAAGAAAATTATTGGCAGATTGTGTAACAAAAGCATTAAATATATATCACAAATGTTACTCGTTTTCATTATAATGAATATTGCAAAATCAACCGATTTGACAGAATTACCGAAGTATTTTAACTGTTCACATGATCGACCCCAAGTAGATGATAGATTATAGGAATTCAAAGATAGTATTAGTTTACATAATATTTAGCGAAAACATAAGTCTATGAGTTGACTGTTAGTTAACAAATGAATAAACAATTCTGAAAACGGAAGGTCACAACAAAGTAATCAATAAAATTTCGCTACCGCTCGACGTAACTGAGAAGTCTCATATTCCTTTTTTTAAACAATAGGCAAAATATATACGGAATCGAATGTAAAACACAGATATTTAACAATAATAATGTGGAATCAAATGTCCAGTATATTGTATAGATTTCTAATACTGGTTAATAAAACAAACGAGTAAATCTGATGATAAGATTGTTAATCTTTACCGACTGAGGTGGTTGGGAATTAAGTTGCTTATGCCCAACAACCGCTTACCGCAACAGGTAATTCTAGTTGTAGATTCAAGTTCAAAGGAAGCTAGAGGGTGGCCAAATAAAAATGCGATATTTATAATTTCATAGGCTGTTGGTCTTACCCGTGTTGGGATCCTATCAGTTACCATACCTAATGGTTTCCGATGCCTCAGGATTTGTTCCAATACAACAGATGCAATCACTCTTTGTCGTGTGTCATATCTTCAGTTTTGAAACTGTCTGCCACTTATTCCGCGAATTTATTTCATATTGTCTATGCCTAATATTTTCTACTACCAATGGTACCGTTACTAATTCTACTACTCTAGCGTTTGTTTTAATAATTTAGTCTCACTGTGGCGATATGATGTGACAACTTGAGCCAATACACACACATATTTATCAAGTTCTACGGTGCTTGTAACTGAAAATTATCACTGAAATTCCAGTATACGATACTAATAATCCCGATTCTAAACATTGTTTACTATAAAATTTAATGTTAAATAGCTGAAATCAAAGCATTTTAAAGACCAGCTACGCTAGATACCATTTATTATATATTCTATTTGAACATATAAATATTGGTACAAGGGGGCACCAGATACACATGCGCCACACAATAATAATGAGAATGGGAAGAAATAAAGTAAGCTGCCTGTAAAAAGAACAATAACGACCACAAATTAGTGTATGTTAGTGAAATATTAATAACGATGAAGGAAACAGAAAGAATTCTTTCAGTTAGAGAAGTTACGGTCACTTTTTATGGAGAAAGTAAAAGGTTAAAGTAGGGTCGCCACTGGCTTCTATTTTGAGCCACATCTGATAACGTCTCTAGCCACTGTGTTGCACCATCTCTAGGACCCCAATCAGGGAGTCTATCAATAAAAGGATGAGTATACTGCGCGGTAGTCCGTTCTGTTTTAATTTACGGCAGCGAAACATGGACATTAAGAGTAGGAGACACTCGTAAGCTACTAGTATTTGACCATAGATGCCTTAGAAATATTGCTGGCGTCTGCTGGGATCACCGAGTAAGTAATAGTGAGGTTAGACGCAGGGTATTAGGTTATGATGGTATATCAGTTAATGAGGTTGTGAATCTTCATCGACTGAGATGGTTGGACCACGTGTTACGTATGCCTGAACACCGATGACCACGACGTGCAATGCTAACCGGTGTTCGGGATGGTTGGAAGAAAGTTAGAAGCGGCCAAACCAAAACGTGACATCAGTATTTAAAGTCACTAACTTCTGTTCTGAGCCATGTTGGTAGATGCAGACTACTTGGTTAGGGTCCGCGTGACTATCGTAACCAATGGTTGGAGACTTTTGGTGACATGGCTCAGAATCGATCACAATGTCATCGGCGTATACACTCTCTGTCTTCCCTTAAACTGCGAGATTAAAATTGCTTCATGTCTTTCTTTCTACGAACTAATTCTTTCTTCCTGTACTATATCCTTATATACAATCTTTCTTTTATATATTACCACCTCTGAATTAACTACTTTTATGAATCCGGTGTCCATCTTGCTGTATTAATAAGGTTTGGCAACTTGAACCGATGCATATATGCGCGTGGTCCTACGTTGTAGCTGACTGACTGAGGGAGTCGTAGAGGAACAATAGAAACCAGTCCTGTGCAGCTTTCTTTCATACAATTACACTATGTCATACACTCACCACCTCCGATTTTTCCAACCAGTCCCAGAGTCGGCAAGTAATGAACGACGTGGAATTCTCTGGAACTACATTCCTAGAACATGTCCAAGCCACCGAAGTCGGTGTTTCAAGACGTTGACACCAATTGGATTATCGTCTCTGTGCCCGAACACACGATGCCGAACCCTCTGCATTACTGACATGGTGTTGCCACTGGATGTCAACAATCTTTCGGAGACAACGATTTTCACAGGCATAGAGCAAAACTGCTCTCACCGACGCGTTGCGGATCCGACCTTTTACAGCCAGACTGACATCACAAGGGCGCCAAAGATGGCCCAGATTGGCATAGGCCAATCTGACTTTCACTATACGTGCATTGATCTCATCACACACGCCACCACCAGCACTTATGCAGCTACCCAGAAACAAACTTCTCGACTACTTCTATCTGCTCACCATCCAGGGTGAATACAGGATTAGAATCCTGCCAGTCTTGTAGAAGTACTTTGCACTTCGAAGGTGCAAAGCACATACCGTACCTACGGACACTGATTGCCAACTGATTAAGTGCGGATTGCATGGTTTGGGCATTATCGCACAGTAACACAATATCATCCGCATAATCAAGGTCGAGAAGTCTTTCCCCAGGCAACAGATCCACACCGCCATTACTTACATCCATTAGAATTGTTTTCAAAATATCATCAATGGCAAGGTTGAAGAGGAATGGTGAGATTGGGCAACACTGCCTGACCCCACTACTCGAATGGAACAATGGAGAAAGGTGGTTGTATGCCCTCACTCTGCCTAAGGTGTTTGTATATAGGGCTTTTAGGATGGCAATAAACTTCTCAGGCACACCCTTCTTCAATAGACAATCCCAGAGAACAGTCCTATCCAACGAATCGAAGGCAGCCCTGATGTCAAGAAACAGTACGATTGATGGCCTTTGATATGTATGGCGGTGTTCTAACATTCGGCGGAGAGTGAAGATATGGTCGATACATCCTCGAACAGAACGGAAACCAGTCTGCTCCTCGCGAGTCAATCTTTCTCGGGTTTTGAACAACCTACGAAGTATGACGGAAGCCAATAGCTTGGACGCAATCGGAAGTAGACTTATCCCCCGATAGTTGTTACAGGAACGACATGAACCTTTTTTAAAGATAGGGACAACTATCGACTCATTCCATGACGTTGATAAACTCTCTAGTTCCCAAACCTTTGTAAAAAACGTCGTCAATTCCTTAGTCAAAAAGTCACCACCATCTTTAAAAAGAGCCGAAGGTAAGTCATCTGGGCCAGGTGATTTGTTACGCTTCAAGAGTCGGAGTTCCTTGCGGACTTCCTCCTCGTTTGGTGGATCAGTCGTCACCGGCTATGGAGGCAGGACAGTCTGACCGATGTTGCCGGAGCAGTAGGCCGGTTGAACTGCCCTTCGAGAAATTTTGCCCATCGTCCAAGACGTCGATGGATGTTAGTGATTGGCGTTCCGCCATCCTCGTAGATTGTTTGGCTCACACCAGACTCCTTGCTGCCAGTGGCTTCCGGCAGTTACCAGATTCAGCTGCTGCTTCCAACTCATTAGCACGCTCCGAAAACCAGGCTTCTCGGTCCTTACGCAAGCTCTGCCCGATTTCATTACGTAACAGCCTTCGTATGTGGTCAAACTCACGGTCACCTAAAGTAGACTGACGGTCCCGATGAATTGTAAGGAGCCTAAAGAAATCCAGTGCTTATAAGCGGGACGTTTCGTGAAGCCGCAAGCGACTTTACTCACCATTTTCATGGCGTCATGCAATTGCAACTAATGATCATCTATACTTTTCGGTGGGATGGTAGCTAGCCTAGAACCTAGCACGGTTTGATACTTAATTGCGACAGAAATTGCAATCAGTTTACTGAAATCAATCAATTTAGCACGATGAATTCGTTGGCCACTGAAAAGTAAAGTAACATTGGCGCAAACAAGGGCATGATCGGAGTTCAGATAGGTACTCCAAAAAGAGTGGCAGTCGTGTACACAACCACGTCAGCGGTAGCTGATCGCGATGTGATCAATCTGAGTCCAGGCTTGAGACACAGAGGGAGGGAGCCAGGTGGCACATTGGCGATGACTGTACCGGAAGATAGTGCTAGCCAGAAACAGGTGGTCTGTGCATAGTTGCAGTAGACGGTCTCTGTTATCTGTCCTGTGACCAGCAAGTCCCCATCGACCACCTAAGCGCTAGAACTACAATATCTGTCGGATGCACTTTCTGAAGAACAGATAACTGGTGGTAAAATTAATCCTTGATTGCAACTGGGCTGCAATCTGTCGGATCATAGGCGATGACGAAAAAACATCGTTTCTCACGCCGATTTCTTCTCACTTTGATGGAACTTTCTAATCTAACAGCACGTAACCGATTGTTAATGGGGATCCAGTCGATTAGTGCTGCCTCAGCTCTAGCGCTTAGTGCGACACCAACGCCTGCAAGAACAGACGAAGATGCCACAGGGTTCCCGGATAAACGCAAGTGAAACAAGCTTTTTGAGGCGACAGATGGAGAGCGAATTTGTTGTACTTCACTAGAGTCTTGAATACGGGTCTCGGATAGACAGCAAACATCGATATTAAGACTTTCCAAGGACATAGCCAACCCTATCTGCTGTCCAACCTGCATAAGTGTGGGAACATTGAAGGCAGCCAGTTTAAATGGTGCACGTGGTTTCAGAAAAACTGCTTCAGTATTCATATTTGGTGGTAGCATACAATTTTCAACCAGCAGAGACTCGAGATAGTTTAGATATAATAGAGTTTCCACTATAGGCGAGCTGCTGTATAAGTTGAAAAATGGGGATATATGAAGTGAGAATAAAAAGTGATAAGTGATGTAGTATATAAAGAAAAACAGTAATAATAATAAAGATGAGTGTTATCAAGAGAAAGTGAAATGTCTTAGTTCTGATCGGAGCGAGCACAGTATTTTGTTAAATATTTGTCATCTTATCAAACATGTGTGAGGGCTGTGATACTGCCCGGGTGCGCAAACCGAAGCAGGTGGTTTTCTTAGCGCGCCACACCCGGAGCCTTCGACTTAAAGGTCTGATCCACAAGGCAGTGGAGCATCGTAGGGAGATGCAGTCCCATGGTGGCGGGAGACCAACAGTTGGTCCATACGCCATTTTTTCCCTCAGGATACTGGGGCCCATGTGCACCATTGGTTTGGAATCAGGGTTTCCCAACTCCCTTAGGTGGACTCTCCGTGTCCACCAATCCAGTTAAAGTGCCGGAGTTTTGTTACATACCAACTGGCGCTTGTTAACAAAACGAACCTATAAGCTTGAACCTTTCCTTGATAATAGGTCATTTAATCTAGTGGCCACATTTCGAATTGATTGAGAGGATTTAATCAATAACTAGGAACTAGAAAAACATGATATTCGTTGCCACTGACCAAACATAATTAACACTATCGTTATTCACTGTACGTAAAAAGTTTTAAACCATTTAAAGTTTGGGAGATTTCTGCCCAAATGGTTAACTGAAACGTTATCCATGAGAGCTTTGTCTTTGGTTTAAATTATTATATAGAAGGATAGGAACATCACAGATGGACTGATAACCAACTGATCACTGAGTAGCGATCAGTGTTGCGTTTGTTTTGGGTACTGATAGAATTCCATCGAATGAGTTGCGATGAGGCCACCAGCCTACATGACTCCACATTTCATGCACAGTGTTGAGATGTCAAGTATTTGGGATTAGTCTGCAGGAAATCATATGTTATGGCCCAAAGCCGCCAATCAGAAGCAGCAAATTATCGATCGGACCAAGAACGCGTAAAACACGTGCGAGCAGCCTAGAGTCCTGATTGGTCCTGCTTTCAGCCTAGCCCAGCCAGTTAAGTCCAGAACACCAGTCTCAGCCTCTGCAATATGAATCCTTATATTTCAAACATACTGAGTTTATATACCCATCAAACAGACCACAACGTAGCATAAAATAGAAAATAACATTTGTACAAAATTTGGCCAAATGTGGCTGTGAATGTGGGAAGCAGTGGCTAATAGACAGGGCATAATTCAAGAATGGTAAAACTTATAATAATGGTTCGTAGGTCAAAATAAAGTTTATAATAAGAGGAATGTGAATATGAATAGTTTAGTTACTTAACAATTATACGATAAAAATATACGTTTGGTATTGGTCCATAAAAGGATCCCAAAGTTACCACTCATTATGTTTATCGGGACCTAACACCCTACTTGGACTAAGTTTCGTGTTAGTAAACACTCGTCTACAAGAGATGCCTTTAACCTTGATGAAACCGATGATTTCTAGTAGATCCAAGCACACGTCAGTATCTTATAGATATGTATAGCTGACGAGTTCCAGCTGGCACGAAACATGAATCTAGAGATTCCTACCGGCTACCTCCAACTACTTAGCAAACGCTTATGATTTATACTGTTCAGTCAGTAGAAATATTGCAATCCTCCACATGAGGTCAGTCGCAGCCCCAGTGTTAACATATTTCTAACTGGCTCACTAGGCGATGTGCGAATTATCAGTCCTCTTAAGATTGGGGACATGAACTTGCCAATCAGCGCAATAAAGTTCGAACAGAAATCCTTCCTGTTAGCTTTCAGCAACCGCGTAAAAGCACTTATTCCTCTATTAAGTCGGTCGAATAAGGACTAAGTTAAATAAAAAATCTAGTTAGACTACTTAGTGTGAAGTCGGAAGTGTTTGACATCCACTACAAACTACATACTAAGAACTAAAACTGTAAAATAAGCTAATTGAATACGTCTAATATAACTGAATGACGGAGTACACATGTTCACATACATAAACTAGGTCACAAGCTTATTATGTGGACTATTGATTTTAATCGAATGTTCGGACCCACGTAGGTAGAGAAAGGGGGTGGAAACTATGACTAAAATTAAGAATCTGTTAAATATAAATGTCAATTGGATATTTTTTTACCAGAATAAATTACCTGTAATCTCCAGTAGTTGATCGATTTTGCTGATTGGGTGCTTGATCATTTGTAGCAGATATACGAATTAATTCTAAGCCCAGTGCATAATCTCTGTAAAAATAGGTGATAAAATAATCAAAATACTGTCAAGTAAATTTTAATGCGAGGAGTAGTTACCGCGCGTATAAGTTGTGTTGACAGACTCCAAATGACCACATAGCCACAGGTTTGTGTATTCTATTTATGGTGTACCGTACAATTAATCACTTTATTATGAACAATATTTATTGGGTGTCATATGAATTTTGCTTTCTATATATATATATATATATATATATATATATATATATATATATATAGAGAGAGAGAGAGAGAGAGAGAGAGTCATTGTATTCTTCTAACTTATTCTGGTTAGCGTAGAGTGGGTCAGAGGCCATCAAACCAAGATGTGAGATCAGTAGCTAAAGTCATTGACTGATACTTTGAGACACATTAGTAGGTGTTAACTATCCGTTTACGAGACCTTGATTGAACTATTTTGAAATCGTTCTCAATGGGCCAGATGCATTTATTCTGTCTTTACCTAGGTTCTGCGTTTTAATACCGCCTGATATTTCCACTTAGCTAATCAATTCCTTTCTTTCCAAACCATATTCTGTGTACTTAATCTCTTTTTAACTATCATTTGAACTTGTATTATTTGGACTGTTTATCTAATCATCTTATTGTGTTGATATACTTCGACATCTAGAACGGTAGAACACATTTACACGAGGTTTTACGTTGATTATATAACTTACTGACTCAATTTTTTCTTTTTGATGAAAACAATTACCTTATTTGTGGAATAAACATTTCAAGTGAAAAGTCCTGTTGGTGTTTTACTTTTCCTCAAAAATGTAGTTATATATATATATATATATATATATCGAGAGAGAAAGAATGGTAGGCAAATATAGGTATATAAACGACTACCTTGGTCCACGCAATTCAATCAAAAGCTGATTATCACAATTATTATTTGGTACACTAATTTCAAATCGTGGATTAGTTCTATAACTTTCTTTGTCATTTATGCAGCCACCAGCATTTGATCCTTTCCACTCACCAGTAATCTACAATACAATTTTAAAAAAGGAAGCAAAAATATATGCAACAATCGGAAATTCAGAGAAATATTTATTCATTGTATTATTATTATTAATATGGAATTATGTTAGTAAGGGTATGATACATACTACTGCATATCCTTTACAAAGGTTAACTCATGAACTGATCTTAGTAAGACAATAATTATTATTACTGTTGCGAATGGCTTTATTCAATATCATATGTTAAGGACAATATGGAATTATCAGCACACAATGTTTTGACGACCTTATTTTACGAAACAAGAAAAAAATGTGAATAACTGCATACATTTATACATGAAATAAGTAAATGAAACAATCTGGAATTCAATGAATCTTTTTTAAAGCAAAATAAAAATATGCACAACTTTTCATTAGCGATATATTTAAGGATACAAGTTAGTGATTAGGTCAGCTTTTACAACCTGTTCGTCACGTAGTACATTTGCGAGATAAGTGTTGTAGAGTTTTTATATCTTTGCTTGCGTGCACGGATTTGAATGAAATAGCGTCTCGTTCTACAAGAAGATATACGAGGAGGCAGATGTAAGTGAAATGGATGGTTAGTATCTGGCAAGATTTTAAATGTCTATCCGCAACCATATACATAAGCCCAAAAATTCATCACAAATCCTGGTAAATGCCTTCAGCACTCTCCACAGTACGGGAAAATCTTTTCTCGAAAGCCCAGGAAAGAATAATGGGGAATAGTAAAGAACAACACAATATAATAATTAAACCGTAAAAGTAAATACGGAGCAATGCCAAAAACATGTGGTCTGTTTGTATAGTAATTCAAAAAAGGATTTTCCTTAATATCAATAAAGCATGAATAGATTAAGAGATCGGAAGAAAAACTTACACCAAAATAAATGACCTTTGACACCGTTTTTGTCAAAGAATATTACTACAAGCTTTTTGGGATGTTTAAGTGTTATTCATGTTTCAGAATAAAATTAACATTCTAACATGTAGAAGGATTAAGTGTGAGACCATTGTTCAATGAGAGACAAGAACTCATCCATTGTAAGGGGATGTGAAGAGGTAGAAATCGATGTGTATATAGTGAGATCATCTGTATACCTAACAAAAGTGTTTTCTGTAGATGTCAAATTATGCAGAGAAATTGAGAAAAGAATAGCTTTTTTGGCACACCTTGAGTCCGTGAGAACGCAAAACAATTTCCTCCAAGCACAGTATACTGTTCGATTTCAGAGAGGTAAGAACACACTCAGTTGGTTATCCTGCTGTCGGTGTTAACGCTGGAAAATGTGTTTAGTAGTAGTAGTTTCAGAGTAGAGTCAAAGACACAAGTATAGTCTGGAAATGAAAACCAAGAAGCTGTAGAAAGCTACTTGATTCTAGTATGGGGACTGTTTAGCAGCGAACATCCACAACACCATCGATAGGAACCGAATTCAAGACCTTCGACCCTGCGCACGAACGTTTTACGTCTATACCAGTGAGTTGGCATCAAATGGTGTTAATGTCTATGTTCTGACCAGGTTCCAGATTATATATACTGATTGTTAAATTTCCAACCAATTATTGCTAGTGAACGAATCGAGAAGACACTAGGAGATTTTTATATAAACTCTATTTTTACTATTGTATCTTCTTTACTGGAATTTTCGGAGTACGTATTTTGTTTCCTACCAATTGCTGTTTTAATTAGGGAAGAGTTGGTTGAAATATCGTGGTCATGGAATACTAAACAATGGAATAGCATTATAAACAAATAGTCCGTGTATTTCACGTTAAACGATATATGTATATAGTAACATTTTTATTACCGTAAAAGTAAGAAAAAAATCGAATAAATTACAAACTTGATATTTACTATTCGATTAGCATTAAGGAAATGTGCGTTTTTATCAGAAGAACAAGAAACAGTGCATTCACAAACCTCCTCCATTTCGTCTAAAGCTTTTATTAATTCGCTTACATGAATGTTTTCAACTGAGTTAAAAATAGACCGGACCAACAAAAACAATTATATACATCTAAATAACATACATTCTGTAAATGTTTGTATAAACGCCCAATATTATTTTATCAGTATAGAAATCAAATGATTTCATTTTTCCAACTCGCAATACAACTCCAGAATGACATCTCACTTTTTGGCTTCTAACTAATTTTATACACAACAGTTTATAGCTTCTCATAGAAATCCATATAGCGTTATGATGAAACACATTCGAAAGGAAAATTTTTTTAAAATCACTAATTAATTGGGTTTTTCTGACCACTCCTTACAATGCTTATGATTTCACTTAAACATTATTATTACATGATCGATAAGAATATACCACAAGATAGCAGGTGATTAAAAAACATGTATATATCATTACCAAGCTAAAATAATGATAGCTAATAACACTTCTAACATGAAATTCGGCGTTAACATTGGATCAATCAATCTTAAATAATGTAGAAACCAGTACATATGTTCATCAGTTTAAGTTCCCATATCACATAACCACAGCCGAATGAAATTAACAAGACAAATCTTAGAGCTACTAAAGAGATAAAATATTAGTGATAGTATAAAATACTAGGTATAGAGAATATCTATCGACTGGAATCTTCCGCATTAAGCATTCCTCTCACTGAAAGATAATGGTTGCTAACTTTCATATCCATTAACCCGGTCAAAGCGCCAGACATTTTGTCTATAAGTATAACAGCTTTGATTCCCTAATACATTTTACCATCAAGCCATACGTTCATTAATTTGAAATCTATTCATCGATTGAACTCAAGGGATCATTTCTATGGGTAAATAATACGTAGCTAAGTCACTTTAATCGATTTGGTATTTCATACTAAGCTCACTGATAAATATCATTTGAACGCTTTTAAACAATGAGTGCAACAAACTGGAAATTCAAATCGGTAAACTTAGTTATTACGGCAGAATTAAAAATAAAAACAATACAAGGTTGGTACGCCTGTTACCTGGTCAATATTCATTGCACAAAAATGATTGCAATGAAATGGAGAAATTTCATTAAAAATTCCCAAGATCACTCTGCGCAGTTATTAACTGTCGAAATGAAACGTGTTGATAGATCTAAACAGAATGGTCGAGGTCCTCATGTTTATTTTAATTAAAAATTGAAGATGTTCAGTAATATTGTTCAGAATCAATAGCCTATGTTTCCTTTTAGACCATCAGTTTTAAAATTGTTTACTACTTCGAGTGCTTTTATTACTTTTGAAGTGTATATAGGTAATTTCACCTCTCTATGTCGATACAATATGGTCATTTGAGCTGATGTACAATAAATGCCAGGTTCTGCACTGGATTATGAATGAGTTTCATTTAAAAAAACAACAAAAGTTATGATTTTTATAGCTTACTTGTTTTGATATAGTATAGGGATCTTTGATTTTTGACAAGGTAAATGGTGCTGTTGAATATACACGTAGTGTATAATAAATTGTTATTGATTTCTCATATTGTGAAATCAAAAGAATGTAATTACATGTCCCAGGATCTTGAAGCATTTTAACTAAACAATGTGGACTATTAATACGTACAGAATCACAAAATGGTGCAGGATCATAAGGATAATAGACTTTACGAGATTTGACATCTTTATAAACAACCACTGCAATGAATTCTTTGTTTTCGGCAAAATCTGCCTTAAATATATAGATGTGAAGAACAATAAAAAAAAACGAGATTATACGAAGGGATCGAATGGTAAGTATTTTGATTCTTCAGTATTAGTTTAAATATTCCCTCATAGAATATTCACAAGCAAAGAATATCTGAGGGAGCAATTGTTTTCAATGACTTCATATTAGGCTCTAAAGTTATAAGTCCATAATTATTGTAATATCTTACGAAGGCCAAAATAAGGCATGCATTAATTACATTGACAACGTTAAAAAAAATTAGTGAACTTTTGTATCTGTTACGGGATAAATACAACAAGATAGTATTATTTATAAATTAGAGAGATTATTTGATAAAGGTTGGAATGATTCGTATTAAAGTGTCAGTTTATAATCAATATAATAGTGAGATAATAAATTGTGTGAATAATGTGCGTAGTAGAAGAATTTTGTGTTGTTAATCGTGATAATAATAACAATAATAATGATAATAAAGTTGTGTAAATGTTATATGTAACAAGAGAGGTATTGTCAAAGTAATTACGATTCAGAAAAGTCATGTGAATGGGAAAAGTTGGATGTATAAGTTAAGAAAGATAAACACAAAAGGAATTGGGAAAGGGGATATATCATTGCGAACTATAATATATTAGACGGGTGTTTTATTCAAGTGAGCAGTGCGAACCCATGACCATATCAGGGTTTAGGAACCCATAACCCTAAGGTCTCATGGAAAACGCTTAACCGAAACAGCCAAATAAGAGTGATTTGTAACGAATGCTACCTACAAAATGAGCAGAAGCATTTCAGTGTTGTCAAATAACAATAGAATGTGAAAAAAAGAGAAATGTTGTTTTTGAAGTCAAGAGAATCGAAAACGAAATGTAACTCATTTACCAATTACAAAGTTAGGTATACACGGATTTTTGAGCAATGATATTTGTGTGAGAGAAAATTATAGTACTCGGCTGCTTAATTTCAAGTAAGTGAAGAGGGACTCGAACTTGTGACCAAGCACTCGTTGTATGCTTTGTACACTAAACTGGTGCTCATGTGAAAATGCAAACTCAACAAAAATTAAACAGTTGTAATTATGGCATGATAATTTAGCAACTGTAAGCAAAATGGGGATAATGATGTAAACGACAGGTTTTCACAATATTTTACTATTTATTTAGAAGTACTGTCAGTGGTTACATTAAAAACAGCTGTAATTATTACTTATATTATTGGTAATCTGGACTGCAGTTGCTACCTTAAAACATGATGGATGAAGACGTTAGGGGTAATAACCCAAAATAATGTTAAAGTTGATTGGTATACTTGTTTGCAGAAGTTTTATCACCACTACAGCTATGTATTGCTATGATGAAACGCAGTGACTATATTTTAGGAAATTTAATCTGGATAATGGCGCCATACTGCGGCTAGATGAACTGAAATAGTATCCTTACATCCAGCAAGCGAAACCTCCCAACTTTCAGTCAGTAATTTTCCAGGATATGAAAGGATGCTTTGTTATGGAGAACTATTTATTTGTCACTTCATAACTGCTTAAACTCACGCTGATAATAACTTTCCCTGGTTATGCAACTGATTTTCTAGCAATAAGTTAAGAACTACATATTTGAAGTGTGAAAAATTCCATTCTTTTTAATCTCGAGCAATAAGAGTTTTTAATCTATGGTCTAGCATTGCAGTTACTATTGTGTTACTTTGCAAGGGAACATTCAAATAGGTTATGAGCATGGATGTCGAATAGAATTCATCCGACAAATTTACTTACATTTCAAGATGTGTGGAGATTCCAAAACAGTCAATTTCGGATTGTTGGCACATTTTTGTAGGAGGAGGGTATCTGAAAGCAAGGTGGATGCGACACTGGATACGGAATAATATAAGTAGTTTCAAAGAGGTGAGGTTAGAAATGTAAACCACTGAGTGTCATCACAATGATTTTAAAGTAACTCGTGAAGGCCCTAGGCTCAATTTTTGACGTCATCATAAGTGAATACAGTTGAGGGATGAGCTTCAAATTAAAACAGAATATCCATTGAATATCCCATGACTTCCTATGTTTCGTCAACTGAAGTTAATCTGTAACGTAAAATATCGTACTATTCTAATAAATATCCGAATTTCTCACTTAATCGTCGATTACAATGCTTAATAACTTATCATTATTGAGTGATCATTGAATTTTTAATTAATTATATTGAACTTACTTTATCTACAATATGTCTTGTTAAAAGCACCCATATAGGTGATTCAGTTTGGGCAGTAACTTCCAAATTATACTGTGGATTTTCAGCACTAGCGTAAGAATCTTTCTTTGGTCCAGATCCAGCAAGCCAACAACTTCATTTATTATAAAATAGATTAAAGATTAATAGGTTGGATACATTAGTCAAGTTAAGTAATTGATATTGACCACTAATTAATTATTAAACGTTTGACCAAAGTTATAGAAGCTTAGGGATAATGATTCGAAGTACTTGGAATGTACATAAATATGGACGAAAAAAATTAATATGAATTGGTCAGCTTTAATTTACTACTGTTCATTAACAACCATCAGCTAACAATAAGGGGACCGAAATTTCTATTAACCGCATAAAAAGAAGGATAATAAGTTTTGTATTATATAAAAAAGGAATGCTATAGTGTGCTTAACGTCATTCAGACAGATACACTTATTTACACTGATTGGTCATTGAGTGAATGATTAGATTTACATTTGTCTATTGACGAAAATTTCAATCCGACGAGAAGGCAGTTTCTCAAAGACTGAAGAACTGTCTTGTTAATGAGTGCTAACTAGCAAAAAATCCAAACTTAAAACTGTCGGGATATTCAGAAAAATATACCAATAATTATCCTGTTAAGTCTAATGGTGTCCTTGGACTTTAAATGGACATTTCCTATTGGTCAATGTTTATTTCACTTGTCAAATATTGTGCAAATGTTGTTTCTATTTTATGGTACGATGTGGTCTGCTTGATTGGTATATAAACAGAGTATGTTCGAAATATAACGATTCATATCTCGGAGGCTGAGACTTGCGTTCTGGACTCAACTGACTGGGCTAGACAGGGAAGCGGGCCAATCAGAACTCGAGGTCGTTCTTACGTGTTTACGCGTCTTTGAATCGGTCGATAATTCGCTAACCGACAATCAGCAGCATTTTCACGTTACAACAAAAACTTCTATCTTATCGCCTCTAACCATACAACATTATTTACGAGTAAGAGTAACAATTTCCCTTTGATTAATACATTTGAAAAACTTGATAATTGGATAATATCTATAATAAATAACGTTGTTGAGATGTTAAAATAAATAGTCACTTTCCTTGGAAGCAATGTTTGAATGAATATTTAAAAATAAATTACTGACCGCTGTAGAAATTAGGGGGATGTGATAAGTTTCCATGAATTTGTAGCAAATTTGTTTATCGATGTTAAACATCTGTGAGGTAATAAATATTTTTTCAAAGCAGTTTTTCGTTCATTTAATGGTGCAAATATGAGCATGATTTTCACAAGAGATTTTATTTCAAAAAACTAACTTCCACATTATTTGCTTTTCATCTGGTAAATTGGTATGGGTTACAGCGGTTTGTTTATAGGACACATATTTAGATAGCTTTAGATAATTGAGATGAAATGTCTAGTAAAAATCATGCTCATATATGCTCCGCTAAATGAACAGAAGAATGTTCAAAGATGATGAGAGGACGATTCAACTAATTGGATTACAGCGCACTGCTGAGGAGTTTCATACTAGGACGAAACGGTCGTCCAGTGTTTCCAGGTTTTCATGATGGTCTAGCTTCAATTGACTCATGATTTCAACCAGTGAAATAAATAATTATTTGTGTGAAAAAACTACCGAATATTTCCTCAATATTTATGGTCATACTCTCAAAATTTATAAATTGAGGTACAGGAAAAAAAGCACAATCCGTTTAATGGCAAACCACTCTTCTTATTTCTTAAGTCATTTCAAATAAAACTCCATTAATTACAGTATGTAGACCTTCTTATAATAGTGTTACTTATATAATGAAAAGCCTTGAAGTAAAATGAATTCAGATTATTTTGTAAATCCTATTTATCTCGCCTTATTGAAGCCATATTATTATTAAGTTATCATTAGTGTGAGAGGATTGTGGAGATTATTGTGTTTTATCATTCACGTCATGGAATAATCTTAGTTGGACAACCTTTGAAAACTGGGAAGCACTAAACGGCTGCGCCGTCTCCCTACAGGACTCATCAGTGGTGTACATCAACGATGCCACTGTGGATCAGCCTCAAGACCGGAAAGTTTCGTGGCAAGGGCCTAACCTTTAAAGTAAAAAGTCGGTATCTGATGATTCATATCATTAGCTTTAATCAATTTGAAAATTAGTTTGGTTCTTGATCTCAATAAAAAAGTGGCAACTGAATTTTTAATTACAATTATACATTGCTTAGACCTGAAAATAATACATGACAATATAATTGAATAGAAAATTTATTAAAATAAAGTCTCCATTTTATGTGAATTCTGCAGAATCACATTCACTATACATTAACACTAAATATACAGGTATTTAGTGTTATATTTGTACGTGTTAAAAGTATCCTACCTTTATGTACCATACACGGATAGGCACAAATTCAAATAAATAAGAATTAACTAACCACTTCAAAAATATCTATTGTGACATCCAATATTTTTGTTTTAATTGCACTTGTTAGCCATATATAGTATAACTTAAATAAACAGCTTGTAAGTATTAAAATTACTATGCATGATGTTATTATTGTGAATCTGTTCTTTTTTATACCAGGGAGACAAGGGGTAAATATGCTGGAAGAATACGAACAAGCCTTCTGTAAACTGAATTTGTAGAATTAGGTATACAGTTATTTTGTAAAACAAAGCATTCCTTTTTGTTTGATGACTGCGTAATTTAATTTTTGAAAATATAGGTCGTATTGGTACACCATGTTCTCTTTTCTCGAATACTCAATGACTCAGATTTGTGTGATGTTTTTTTCATGTACTTCAATTAACGTTAATTACACACATTATAAGCCATTAGTATCCATGATCATATAATACCTAATGTAGACATCTAAGTGAACGGATTGACCATTCTTGTGTAACTAGAAAAAAACTTACGTTATCGGATTCACACACAAATTATTTTTCAAACATACATAGGCAACTTATTGGTTAGATCAGTTGAGTTTTAACCATTAGATCGCAGGTTCAAACGATGGCCTTTATCTATTTCGGTTTAAGCTGCCAAACAGTATTACTATGCCCCATATTAAAACTGTAACTGAAAGTCGGGTATGTAAACTTGTACTAGGTAAAAAATTCATACCTAAACACAAGTAATTTTCCAACTTAAGGATGAGAATACTACAGCACAGACTTTATAGGTGTCAATGCCAAGGTAGGACCTGATAGTTTCAAATATATTGAGAATTAGATAGAAAGTTATTAATAAATATACTTTTTGTTATACTCCAATAGTAGAAAAATCGTATTTCTGATTTTTCGTGACTTAATGTAGGTCACTACTTCAGAGTAAATAAATGACCGAAATTAACAAAATTCTAAATAGCGCAAAGGAGACAATGCAGAATATTCTTAGTACAGTCAAAACCATAATAGGTCTGAATATGCCAATGACCTGTCACTATTCATTTGTGCCTCAGAATGTGGGTATGAAAAGTGTTTGCATTTGTAATATGAAATAGTGGGGTTGAAATTAGGCGTATGTGTGAGTAGATCGTGTGGAAATAAACTATGTCAAATGTGGCTGTTTGGATAAACGATCCAGGCTGGATGAATATTCAGGCCTTCTTTCCTATCGAGGGCAGTGGGGTTTAGTGTTATGTGAAACGCTCCGGTTACTGGCCTCTGTCTTTATCCGAATAACCACATTTGAGTAAAAAAGTGGGAGGAACCTAATGAGTAACAAACGATTTCACAAAAGCAACTTACTCATTAACACATGTAGTATATTGAAATAGTCCTGGATCCCAATTAATATAAAATACATCAAAGAAATGACATAAAGAATCATAATCTATCCAAAATACACCATTATCAATTAACTGTGCAGATGATCTATCAAAATTCAGCTTAGCTTGCATACTGGGGGTCCAGTGTTTTGAATCACGCTCAGAGAAATTACCTTTCCAACGCATATGACTCCATGGATTTTTCAGTAAAAATAAACGATAACCCTTTTTTTTAAAGCGATTAGTGTTTTGTTTTTTAAACAAAATTTATGTTGTGGAAAGGGAAACAAAACATACATAAATAGAATTACAAACTTGGTGATACAGTTATCACATGGATTTCAATAAAATAATGATAATGATCACAATACTTAGATTCATATCAGTGGAAAAAACCGATCACATATCAAGCATCATTACAATTTGTAATATAATTACCCAGATGATTTGTATGACAGTAAGGTTTTATTCATTTCCTTCTTTTTAAAAATGTGGGAAAATAAAAGGATTCTACCTATTTAGTAAGAAAAACTACTGGAAATAATTGGACGAAAACTAATTCAACTCTCAGGTAGGGATTCACTTACATGGCTTCGAGTCACAGTTTATTTGTCCCCACCAATAATGCTACTACGCATTTGGCTAAACGAAGTAGGTAAATTAAAGTTCGAACCTGGAACTAAGTAAATGCAGACTGAAAGGCCTCAGCAACTGCTTCACATTAGGCAGTCATACGTTAAAAGCGCTTGTTTTCGTTCGATCACCAACGTTCATTAACAAATAGGGCGCGATTAGTACTGTGAAGAAATTTTTTGTTAGTGGAACTAATTGACTTTTAATCATTGCATTGGTGACTTAAAAACCTCATTCGATTTGGATACACCAGGTAATACCACTAGGTATGATCATCGGGAGCGTCCTCTCACTCTTTCGAAAGCCTTTCATAAAGTCACGCGTTTATGGCCTTTATCAAGGAAGACCTGCTCACTGCCTACACGCCGCGGTCTGTTTTCTACAAAGTGAGACAAATTGAAGAGAATGTCTTAACAACCATTTATACAAAATTACAAAAGTTTTGTTAGTATCGATCTTCCGTTTGACTAGTCAAAGATGAAGTTCCACAACTCCAAATAAGAGACCTCGTCTGGGGTTTATAAACAATGATTTTTCAATTAGAATATTAATTTACAATTCTTATTACTGCAGTTATGTCAGTAAGTCAGCTACAACGTAGGACCAGGCAAATATGTGCATCCATTCAAGTTGCTATCTCATTAGCAGTTATATCATCTCATATATTTATTTTAAAAAGCAAAGCTTAGAATCTTTCTACAAGCATGTTTGGATTTGTTGGATTTTCATCAGACGAACAGTTTGTTGGTCAACTAACAGTTTTTTTGTGAGAATTATAAGTTAATTCATCATGAATGACATGACTTATAAATATAATGGCAGTGGAGTGAATGCAGTTACTTTTTATCGCACATTAGATGTTGATTTTCAAAATTACACAGTAAATTTATTGGTCAATTTCGGATTACATCCTCTATGTTTAGTCTTGTAATTATTGATCACATCTGTCGGTTGTTTAGTTAGTTTCAGCTGGATATATTAATGTGGTGTGATGATTTGTGTTGATATATATTTGTATGAATTTGCTCATTGTTTATGATCGACTGGTTGATTGAGAATCGCTGAATTACAAGTCATTCATTATACAATTACTTCAGAATCACTCAAATTGGATATCGCACTGAGTCAGCCACATTTTGATATTATAAGTAGGAGAATAGAAAATTGCAACAATTAAAAAAATACTCCTAAAATATGTCTGTCAGTTCGGGTCGAATAAATGAAAGGAATTCTTAGGACTACTTTATAGGTGACTATTAAGTAGATTTTCATTATTCTGTTAAATGTCTGTATGTAGTGTCTTTATACTACTTTTATAGTACGTTTCCACTTCATTTATAAACTGTTATTGGATGTTTCATCGTTCCTTAATTATCATTAATTAAAAATGAACCTATTGCTCAGTTTTGTAGTACATGTGAATTAGTTGTGTACAAAATATATAGTAACCCACGGGTTTTTGAGCCAGGATAGCAAAAAAGACAATATTAACATAAAAAGTAATTCTGCTTGCTGTTTTTAGCTTTTGATTATCCATTTAGACTAGTAGGGAGTTGTGGACCGACAGACATTTCGCAGTCATTATGTTATTAGTTTAACAGAATGTCATTGATCAGGCAAGTAAACATAAGTGGATTTCTACTATCAAATGAATTCGATAAAGTAGGCAATATACAGAGTTGTATTTATAACAATTTCAAATGATAAGCACATACCTCCACCTCACGTATATCTAACATAGCATAAGCATGAGTTGGAACTAAACCTGACCGTTCACTCTCATCATCGGATAACTGTCCAGTTGCAATTGTAACTAGACAGTGACCTTTATGAAATCGACTTAAAAGACGACGAAATTCTCTATCTTTATCAAAATTTGAAGAACTAGATCGAATGGAGATACGTTCAGGAATCCAACCAGTCAATGCATGCAGATCAATATTCTGTTGAATATCAAGAAAAAGAAAAGCAATCCGTAAACAAATTTCGAGTGAAACTCACCATAAAATAAACGTATTTTAAAAGAAATGTGTATGAGCACATGTGAAATGTATGATTATTTGAAGACCAAGTGTACACATCGAACGAAATTTTGTTTTATTTGGAGAGTAAACATATTACACATGATTTTTATATTGTATTACGAAGTGATTTCAGTTAAAAACTATTGGATACCAGCAAGCCTTGAATAGCTTTTCGATCCTAGTATGGAACACCTCGAAAGTGCCCGACGACGACTAAAAATCGGGTCAGATCAAAGACCTAAAGGTCTCTCAGGTAGGCCATTGAGCTAGCAACAAATAGTGGATATATCTAACTTTAACCCATTTGCGAAACTGTGTAACTATCTTCCAGTTCTGTTGGTGGGGGATTGTCTAACATTCAATATGGTTAAACTCTACTGGTCACGTCTTGTCAGAACAGGAAGGATTTTATGAATAACGAAGTCAAACAAAAACGAGGAACAGACTTATGTAAGTAAATGGTTTTTGTTACGCGATGTCTGATCACTACAATCAACTGTAGAACACCGGATGACTCTCTCGTCAGATGTAAAGCTACTAATTATTAGCGTGCAACCAATCGTTCGAACACAGAACTTGCATGTGTCGCGATGCATGTTTAATATTTCAGACTATTGAGTTTGAAATTCGATGGTCTATACTTTCAAATTAAATCAATCATGGAAATTTATTTATGTAATCACATAAATCCTGGTACAATAGGAAATCAAGAAAAAGTGCCAAAGAAATGAAACGATAGTATGTATGAAAAAAGAAGAGACGGATAGTACAATCAAGAAGAAGATAAATTAACGATAATGAGAAACAGTCAGAGTCATTAATCAGTAATTAACTCACTCTAGACATAATCACATCAAGAATGCCACTAATTTTGTGCACTGAACGAATATAGAATACATACAAATATCATGTTTTAAAGGAACAATGATCAGACGGAGTTGATATGAGAAATATGATGTATTTGTGCCGCACATTTCGAACAGTCTGATCACATACTTCTCAAGACATCTTACATGAAAACTAATGAATGTCAATTAAATTAAAGTTCAAACAAATATTAATTTTCACTGTGGGGTTTTGAAAACTGTTGTATTTTATAAAAATCATGAACTGATCTGAGTTTGACTAATACCTAAAACCTAGAAGATTTAAGCGGTCGTTTTGTTCTAATATGGGAATCCTCGAGAGTACGCACCCACGAACCTGCGACCGGGAATCAACCTCAAGAACTTCGACGCCACACGAGGATGCTTCCCGTTTTTGCGGTCTTGGGTGGGCACAGCTAAAGATTCCCATGCCGGGACGAAACGGTCATCAAGTACTTCTAGGTTTTTATTTATCGTCTTACTCAGATCGGTTCGTGATTTTAATAAACAGGGTGATAATTGAAAATAAAGGAGGGAAAAAACTAATATCATATGAAAAGAACAGGAAATTGTCACATCACTCTAGTTTGTAAAATGACGTAAGGTTCACCAGAAAAGACAAATAGTTTTCGTACACATAAAGGATGTTTGGATTTGCTAACACCCAAGGCCTTTATAAACCCAGGAACTCGCCCTTGACAATTTCTGCCTAACTTTCTAAAAGCTGTATTGACATCAATTCTATACCTCGTTTCAATTATATGCTTTGCTATTGATGAACATGGTTTCCTACTTATTTTTATCGGAGTATTTGATAGTAGTTTATCCTGAGGCCATTTAGACACATGTTGCATAACCCTTGATTGCATTGTTCGATGAATCCTCCCTAGGTATATGCGTCTGTACAAACATGCAGATTGATAAATGCAGTGGAATGTGACGCAACCACCTGTGCAACATCTAGGTTCGTATAGAATCATGAGCTTAGTCAAAACCAATTTAGCAGTACAATATAATTTCTCAATGGTTGCATTTAGTTTGTTATGAAATTATACTGTTTGACCTTTCTCGACATGACAAAGAGATAAAAAAAAACCTTTTCTCTGTAAAAGAATTAAAAAGGCATTTTGGTATTAACCGACTTTTACACCAATTTGTAAACTTCGTTTAGCCATTTAGTATCAACGTTTCGGCTAGGAGTTTTGTATCTTTTTCAAAAGCATCTGCAGTGCATATTCATTGAGTTTTGTCAGAGGCACTTTGTCACGCCTCACCTGTGGTGCAGAAAACACAAAGTGTGAGAATTCAGATATTGCCAAGTCTACGTTGGCTTCTTATAAACTGAACGTTTTATAGTTACATCCTCTCCGGATGAAAAGTATGTCTAAATTAGAGAGTAACTTATTATTTTTTTCGTCATAAGTACGATATCATTCTGCACGCTATCGAGTCTGTCCAATAAAATTGGCCACACAAAGTGAACGCCTTATAAGTGCTTCAAACTACCCAACGTTGCATCTAAAAGGAGAATGGTAAACAACTGGTAGCTTAACGCAAGAGCATCTCATCGACTCTGGACACGTTGCTCGACCGAATTTCATCTTTAAATATAATCTACACGGCCAAACGAGTGAAATCAAACTGAAGTAAAATTAGAAAGTTCTGAACCGTTCAAGTGTTGGTAATTTACTAATTTGATCCTGAAATCTGTATGCGAAAGCAACATATACAAACAAATATTATATAGAATGAATTAGTAATTGAACATTACCGAATTTGATCCTGGGAAATCATATCCGCCCATCACTTTCATATAAGCTTTTTCTAATAAAGATACCCATAATTCATTTTGATTATTTGAATAACAACATAGCAGCTTTCCATCCTTTCCCATTGGCAAAAGGTCATCTATAATTACCTAGATCAGTTAGGCACATATATATTGCAAAATTGACTAAGATAGATTATTCATGTATACAAGGGTTCTATTAAAAAAAAACGATTAGGTTGAAAAATTATTTGTCGTTTGTCGACCAATTACAGGTTTATGTACTTGGCTTTGAATCATACTGTTTACACAAGGGGAAGTGAAACTACTTATTACCTAGTTGCTCAAACAGAAGTGAGGTGTATTGTTCAAACTTGGAATATACTAGTTTAAATCCAAACGATTCAGTTCGATAACAAAACACATCAAGCAGTAGCATTTATGTAAATCAACTCATAGGATACTGTCGTACATCAACATAAGAAGTTATGATCTAGACGAAACTACGCCGAAAGTGAAGAACAGAGGATAAAGGTGAATGAACAATTAGTCATAAAAAAGTAATAGTACGGCAGTAGTTCGTGAGTCCACTGGAAATTTACAATAAGGAGAATATAGAAATACAATAATACAGTAATTTGATAATTAGACAATAAAAATACTAGTAATCCGTAAAACAGTTCCAAAAGTCCTGATGTCCTCAACATATGTCAAGTCATAACAGATCAGTTACATCGCCAAGTCGTATAGTGTTTATCAGGACAGTAAACCATAAAAATCACCAAGTTGACAAATACATTAAAATATTTGGACAATTATGAACTTCTAACTTAATTGTATACTAAAAGAATATCTGTACGTCATCTAAGCGGGAATTTTCACAAACTAATGTAAATATTAGGATAGTACAAGCTAATAGTACTGAGAGTTTAGTGCATCCAAATTAATTTTCAACATTTACACTTAAGTATGTATTCACAAAGTAAGTATTACGGTTGGAAAACTGGTAACAATAAATTAAGGAGTTTTTTATCCTTTGAAACACAAATTAACATAGAATTTTTTTTAATTACTGTATTTTTGTACAGAATTTGAGCCAACGTTGAAAATAACAATATGGTCGATATGTAAAAAGTGTCTGGATTCCTATTGACGAAGTAATTACAACCATCAATAAATTTTCACTTCCTCATGTATTGTACTGTTGATAGAAAGGATATTGATGTGTAAATATGCTCGTGATATAGAATTACATTATAACAGAAAAATAGACGATGGTTTGTTATTCAGATGATTGTAGACATGGGTAACATGGCCTAAAGTCGATCAATGTTGCTGTTGAGTAGGATGGACGTGACGGGTATTCATCTCAATAAGTTCATTTCGTTGTGTTGTGAAAGCCTAGATAGACAAACGTTTATGTGCCACTCTTTACGTTGAATATGACTGAGTCCCAAAGTAGTACCCATCGGTGATTTCACGTGGGATCCATGCTACCATCTACAATTTCTCTATTTTTTAATTGTATAATCTCTTTCAGTTTGACGATTTTAGTTATGGGAACTTGAATGGACAAACATTTTTCCTAGATTCTACGTTGCTAATGGTTAGCTCATGTAATCAGTGAGATCGTATATTTTGAGATATCTGATAGTATAAATAATTGGGACAAGATTTAAGCGTTCCAAGCTCATAAACACATAAACTGGAGGCTTCAGAAAGATTTTTTTAAAAAGAGAGTAAGGTACAACAACCGAAGAATGAACAAATTTTTTTACTTCAGTTTTCTACATTTCAATTGTATAAAAGCTAGAAGACTAATATCTTTGATCGATAATTGAAAAAAAACACGTTAGACACGTTAGGAAGATATAAAACTTTGTAAACAATCCACTAAGATAAATCATTTTGCATTGTTAATAATTTAAACCTCATATAGTTGCATGCAAGTATTATTTTACAGATTTGTTTGCTGTTGAACTGCCTCCAGTGACATAAAGGTAGAGAGGTCGATTAAAGTATTATTAATTGATAGTTTATATTGCCGATAAATCTGGTGAGACTATAATTTATGGACGACCTTTGAGCTAAGCTAGACTGACCTTGAGAGTGTCCACTTAATATCTATGATAGAATGAAGGTTCTAAACCTGTGCAAGGAATTAGAATTATGTTTTACAGTTGATGATTAACGTTAGGAATTAGATTTAGGGTTTTCATCACGAACTGACATCAGCTATAATGCCAAAACTCTATTTAGCCAAATAGATGGGTGAATTTAGCGCCTAAATCCGAGACTTGTTATCTTATACCTGATTGGTTCGTCCATAAATCATAGTCTCGCCACAAATCTTAGTTAAACAACCATTGAAAACTAGGTAGCACCGAGAAGCTGTTTCATATTAGTACTGCACTAAACAGTAGTGTGCATCGACGACATTATTAAAGGTCGAACCTAAGGTCTTCAGGTTTCATGACGAGCGCCTAACCTTTAAACTACTGATTGGGTATCCAATGTTTTTGTATTCCAATCACAGTTAATGATATTTTGTGATTACTATCCATTCCTGTTAATGATATTTGTTTTACACCTAACATGACTTAACTAGGGGCAATTCGTGATGTAAAACTATGTGATCTATAGAAACTATTTAATTTCAAGTTATTTCTCATCACGGATTGAGATTAGTTGAACCAACTATTGGAAATCAAGGGACGTACTCCATTTCAAACTAATTAAAAACCAAACAATTCACTGTTAATTAACCACATACCTTTCGTGGAACTCCATTGACATTTAAACGAACCATGTATTTTCCACATGGATTATAAATAGCTTCATTAGTTATGCCTTGAGGATATATAACACTGTAAAATAAGTCGTTTTATTTTTTATTTAAAAACAAAATTAATGGAAATAATCGTATCATGAATAAGTGAATTGATAACATTGTATTCTATAAGTTGGAGATAGTTGAAATTGCGATGTTTTTGTAGTCATTTTGAATAACATTACTAGGTGCTTCGTTTCCTATTAGAAGTTGGTCACAGAACAACAAAAACTCGTTACAGTTAAATTATCCAGTTCGAATGCTTTAACTATTGAGACACCACCTCATAATTTTGGGGTGATCTTTATACAGTCATAATTTTGACCTTATTACTGAGTGTCACAAATATCTTAGTTGTGTGTAACCTACTGAAATTTATGCTTTAGTTCTGTACTTCTATTACGATTCACCGTGTCCGATTTATATACATACGCTTACTGAACTATCTATGAGATTGTTGGTGATAACTAGGATATAATATTGTTAACAACTACATGAATAGGTACACAAATCACTGGTAAATATATAATTTATAATGATAATTTATATAACATATAATTCAATTGAATCATGATCTCAACTATTGAAAATATATAATTGTCCGTCTGATATGTACAAGGGCATATAGGCTGGGACCTTAGCTGGGAGGATAATTCGTTGCCTCCAGTAGAGCTTACCATTCATGATTATTCACTCACTATTTAACCTTGAGATGGTATTAGTGAAAATAATATATATCTAGGAAAATTACGTTTCTAATTTTTTTGACGTTTCGTCACTTAGTATTAGCCCTTTGATCAAAGAATAAATAAAAAAGTCAAATTTCTAAGGTACATGTCCGGGCACCATAATTTGGAGAATACGATTACTCTTTCCTATGTATGTGTTGCCACACATCTAAATTGATAAACACAGTTGGATGTGACGCAATCGTCTTCACATCTTTTAAGTTTTTAGTGAAGCATGGAGCATAAAAGGATGGAAGGGTCATGACCTATTATAGCAGTAAAGCCTGTCTACATTGCTTAACGTTTAGAGGTGATAGAATTAATCTTTTATTGAAACAAAAGCTTGAATAGGTTATTGACAAGACATTACGCAGAAAAGGTAATTATCAAGGGAAAATCAAGGTCCATGAATCCCCAAAAGCTTAAAAGATATGGAAACGATTGCGTCACATCCAATTGTATTTATCAATTTAAATGTGTGGCCACACATACATGGGGAGGAGTAATCGTGATCTCCAAATTAGGGTGTCTGAACATGTAACTAAATGGTTTCGAAAACAAATAAAGACCTAATAAGAGTAGATGATAAACTATTCATTATTTATTTTAAGACATAGATATTGGTACAAGGAGGCACCAAATACATATGCGTCACACAAATCTCATTTGATTTGTGCGAGGGCAGTGATACTGCCCGGGTGCCCAAACCGAAGCAGGTGGTTTTCTTAGCGCGCCACACCCGGAGCCTTTGACCTAAAGGTTTAATCCACAAGATAGTGGAGCGACGTCAGGAGATGCAGTCCCATGGTAGCCGGTAACCAACGATTGGTTCATACGCCATTTGTTCCGTCAGGATACTGGAGCCCATGTGCACCATTGGTTTGGAATCAGGGTTTTCCAACTCTATCGCCAAACACAGTTGAAATAGGCATAAGGCTGATCTTAACATGGCTTTCGTGTTGTACAAAAGCGTAAAAGGGTGTTTACTAAGGTTTATTGAAGCCTTAGCCATACGAAAATTCAAACCCCCTTAATGTATTCAAAAATAGTTCACACCTTAAATTTATCCTGGTAATGCTATTCAGGTTTAAAATTGTTATTTATATTATTTTTCTTTATTATCCTTGTCTCCTCTTGCCCTCCGTTTCTAGTCGATTTGACCTTTTATATATAAATGATCTTAACAAATATATGTGTGATCAGATTGTTCGAAATGTATTGCGCTAAAATACCACATAGCTCTCATAATCTTCGTCTTCTAATTACACTAACCAAATTAAATGTTACAAAGGAAGAATAGATGTGCGATCAAAACTCAGTAAACAGTTAAACTACACGACATAAACAAATCTGAACACAATTGTGAGTCCTTATTTAATTGTAATCAACTACAGAGTTTGAAAATTACGTTTCAGCTATATCTAAGAGCGTTAGTTGATATTTCAAAATAAGTGTCAATCTTTCAACTGAGATATCAACCCAGTACATAAATGAAAAATATGAACAAGTTGGAAGAAGAAAAGTTAATTTCGAATATTTGATTGTGTTATAACGTTGAAAATGACTAAACCATATAAACTCAATCAATCAAAATCGAACCATCTAATCAATAATTAAGTCATAATAAAAACAATACAAAGTAGTAACAGATGAAGAAACAAACTGAAAACGTTGACAACACAAAACAGCTTATTATATATATGACGCATAAAAGTATGTCTGCCTGTCTATCTACATTCACTAGCCAGTCATGGCTTGCTTTCGTTGAACGCATCAGATGGTCTGTCATTCTAGTGATTTTTACACTGCAAAAAAAACAAGATACAATGGTAAAATACGAATAATTCAGAACAAGTAGCTTTTTTAGTGAATAGTCAAGTAATATCTTACTTTGTAATGAGCTTTTTTTTAAAACGTCGTTCATATTGAGCAGCAATCGCCATCGATGCAACAAATGAACAATCAGTAACTACAGTTTGGCATATAGAAAAGCATGATATTGCCAAAATCATTTTTGGTCCATTAATGTAATCAGAGGGACGTACCCAACGGCTAAGTAAAGATTTCTGTTTATTTGACAGTGCTAAAAGTCCATCTTTATCACTTTGAAAAGTAGCAAGAGAAATAGGAAATGAAGAAAACAAAACATTGTGAATGTTAAATAAAATCTTAAAAATAAAATGTGATGTTCTGTAACAAACAAAAACAACTAAGAACGATGAAAAGATAAACTGATTCTAGGAGTGAGCACATGAAAACTTGTTCTCAAATATCAAGAATGATACACGGGGAAAGAAAAAGTTAGAGTACATCTTGTGTTTAACAACAAATATACAAATTTTCAATAAATTTGTGTATTATGCTTTCTAAGATTGTGGCAGTTGAATATGTTATATGAATACCTAAACCATAGTGTGGTGGTTTGATGGTTAAGGGATTCGATTTTCAACCACTAGGTCGCTAGTCTGAACTATACTACATATAATTAGATTGAGTAGCCGGGTTGTATCGCTATTTCTCATATACAATGAACAACTTAAAGTTGACTACACAGTTTCACAATTTGTAAATAAGAAATAGAAGTGTGTTCCGGATCAAAACCCTGGTTGTTGAGGGATAAACGATCGGATAAATGAGTGACAGTAAAACTACTACACTGAATTAGTACATCTAGAAGATGTCGTGATGAAAAACTTGTTAAATAGATGTTACTAAATAGTTAAGTAATAAAGGTCGCTAGAGGATAAAGACAGAATTTTCCGGCAAATAGTTGAAGTAATCTTCCAATTTCCCAAACTGATTAGTAGCCTTTATTATGATTGAATTAAATTCAGACATTCCAGAAAGAACACCACTTATACCAAGAGCAATTCTCGTTTCAAATGTAATACATTATTTCTAGTTGGGCGTTTTTAATATCGGGTGACTAAAGATAGTTAAGCTTTCATTATGAAAGAATGAGGAGTTGTAGCTCAGTTGTATGCTTCTGGTTGTATTGTGTTCTCAGGGTGAGCAAAGTGGTTTAATTGGGAATCCTTCATTGTCGTTATAGATAGGATCAGTCCTCAGTTCACGTACAAAAGGACTATTTGATAAATGCAGTTGGTATAAATATGGGTTTAATTACTAGCACAAACTGAAGTATAACACAAAACCGTTGAAACCCAACAACTACATAATAATTTAAATGATATGCATCTTCAACTACATCTATGATGAAGTTATTAAATGAGAAACCCAAAATGAGCACATTGCCCCTGGGTCACCAGACTGTAATCGAAGTGTTAGTATTTACCGATTTCAGTCAACCAACAATATAACACGGCCATCATCTGACCCTATCGGCTAGCAACTGTTTTTTAATATACTGCCTGACCAAAAACAAAACTACAGATTACCAAAACATTGAAAACGCGTGTGTATAGTTGGAAGGACCCAAAGTGAGATGAAAAAGCAGTGGGGTTTTTTTTAGCTAATGGTAATTTCAGACAGAAATTGTACTCAGACCAATCAGATTCTTTACAAACCGTATTGTTAACTCAATTATTTAATAGTGATAAGTGTAGGAATGAGTGTACGGGAATTCTTTGAGTCGACGCTATTGTACCGTAAACCAAACTGCCAACTGTATGGATGCGGTTACTAATTATTTGAAATGAGAAGGGTATTACAGCCATTTACAAGAAATTTGCTTACAACCTAAATGTAAGTAATAAAGACTAAAATAAATTTGGACAAAAGATTTGTTAACTTTAATACTTGTTAGCTAAGCAACCAAATATTGTATCTATTTCACTTAGAAATATGGATGAATATAAAGTAACCAAGGGAGAAATCAGTTAACTAATACTCTATTATTGTAGGTTTGACTGTTTCTAAGTGTACATTTTCCTTGGACCTGTGACAACTTGAGCTAACATGCTACTGTATAAAGCCCTGAAATTATTTAGTAATTACACAACATTCAAACAAGATCCATGCTAGATATCAGACTTAATCTTTAAAGCTTAGTATAAAGTACGGTTAACTATAAACATATAGAGCATAAATCAAATGTAAATCAAGAAAACTCGTTTGTAGACATGGACCATGACTTACACAAAAGGATTAGCAAAGGAAAATCGTTCTTGTAGATCAAGGGCGTCAAGAAACGGTAAATATTCACGACCATTTATAACGGACGTGGATCTCAATACCTCCAGTTCTTCGACAGTAAAACCGCCAGGGTCTATTAAAGAAAACGAGAAATTGGTTGATATCAAGTCTGAATATGATCAAATTTATGGAATATGTAGTATAAAAATCTTAATTTGGTTGAGACAGAATTTTGATCGCTTTTTCAGCGGCAACTGATTGCACTGAAGGCCTAAGTAATGTACAGACTCCTAGTAGAAATGAGGAACCAAGACTTAAGAAACAAGATATCAAAGATCAGCTATACCGTCATTATAAAGTTTGAAACCTTCTAAGTAAAAACAAAACGAAAATGAGATAACATAGTTTCATCGCTTAAACAACACGGTTCTTAATCGAAAGATACAAGAACTACTGTTAATTTTGTGTCCACATTTATTTATTTGTTTAAACACATAAACACTGGTAAAAGGAGGCACCGAATAGATGTGCACCACATAAATCATTCGATCTATGTGAAGGTTGAGAAACTGCCTGGGTGCCCAAACCAAAGCAGGTGGTTTTCTTAGACGACCACACCCGGAGCCTTTGACCTAAAGGTTTAATCCACAAGACAGTGGAGCAACATCAAGAGATGCAGTCCCATGGTAGCCGGTAACCAACGATTGGTTCATACGCCATTTGTTCCCTCAGGATTCTGGAGCCCACGTGCATCATTGGTTTGGAATCAGGGTCTTCCAACTCACCTAGGTGGATCCTCCATATCCACCAACCCGGTTAAAGCGTTGGATATTCGTTTTTCGTCTTCTCAATTTTGTAAAAAAAACACCCACACCGCAAGGTAGTGAGTAGGACTTTCTTGGCAGTGGTTGTATGCACGTGGCCATTTAAGAGTATTTCAAGCATTCTGATGATATTTTTCAGTGTGTTATAATCGAACAATGGGCTTAATATGAAATACTAAATCGATGAAAGTGACTTAGCTAAGAATTATTTACCCATAGAAATGATCCCTTGAGTTCAAACGATGAATAGATTCGAAATTAACGAACGTATGGCTTGATGGTAAAATGTAGTAGGGAATCAAAGCTGTTATATTTGTAGATAAAATGACCGGCACTTTAACCGGGTTGGTGGATCCACCTAGGTGAGTTGGAAAACCCTGATTCCAAACCAATGGTGCACGTGGGCTCCAGGATCCTGAGGGAACAAATGGCGTATGAACCAATCGTTGGTCCCCGGCTACCATGGGATTTATGTGGCGCATATCTATTTGATGTCTCCTTGTACCAATGTTCATGTGTTTAAATAAACAAGTAAATGTGATTACAAAATTAACTGTAGTTCTTCCATCTTTCAATCCACATGAAATTCCACAGAATAAATTACAAAAGAAACGGTGAAAATGTGATGATATATTTACATCGACGAGTCAGTAAGTAAAAAATATGAGCTATGTATTGTTTGGAAAGGTTTTCCATTGCGTTGAATTTACGTAAATGTCTTACAAATTCTTGATGTCGTACGGTCTACATATCAACAGATTATTTTAAGTAACAACCAATAGTTACTTCATGGTTAGTTCAGTCACAAGTTATTTGATCACGAGAATCAATCGAAATTTTTCGTAAGTCATGCTATAGTTAATAATAGAGATAGCTAACTTGAAAATGTAAAGTTAATTATTATAATCGATGACAAAAAGGCAACTGTGCTATCATTGAATTAGATGGCGAGTTTCATATTTTTTCCATTTGGTTAGCTATAAATGTTTCGTCAGGTGCTGATTCTAAATGTATTACTGAAAATAACGGCCAATTATGGGTGAGAATAGTAACAAGCTAAAAAAATTTAAAAAACCAACCTCCTTTCAAAGACGAAGACATATTGGGTTTATGAAAACCGTGGGATTTCTTAGATGTTTCTGGCGTTAAAGTGCTACAAGAAGAACGGGAATCAGAACAAGGGGGCTGTGTTCTTTGAACATATGCCTTTAATTGTTCTGCCCTAGAAAGCTGGAATTAATTAAATAATATTTTAATACCGATCTAAACCCCTTTTGGAAAATGTTTCAATGGATTTAAGTAAAGAGGGATCCTGGACATCACGTTTCTATGCACATTTAATTAACTAAATCCAGAGGATTTACTATGGATAACATTAACTCTACAGCCAATGTGTAGAGCTCAAAAGCCTTGTGGAAGTTTCCTTTTTCATCTTCCGTAGTACCATCATCCAGTAAGAAAAGAGCCCTTGCAAAATCAGCCTGATGCATTAATTTAATCACAAATGTAACCAGACTTTGCTTTTAGAAATACGAGTGTTCGGTATGGAAGTATCTTCCACCACAGTTTTTGATTTGAGTTCTTTCACTTTGTTGTTGTAATTCTGAGCTAATTCTAATAAACCTTCAGTTTTTGAGCCTGCTTCCAAAGAATTCAAGAGTGCTTGAGCAGCTTCCTAAAAGTGTTAATGATTTAATCAGCCATCTACAGTGTAGTAAAATGCAGCAGATCTGTATTCTTTCCGAGACTCTTCCCACACTGCAAGTCTTTTGAACCAATCGGCATCTTTCTCCAACTCATGAGGATTAGCCATTGACTAATCCAATCACCCGATAGAATGCTTCTTTTAATCAAAACACGCAAGTGTTCACCACTAGATAAATTACCTAAAAGACAATTCGAAGAATAATAGGAAGTTTGAAGAATTATTGTGGATGCGAAATCGAGTACAACGTATAGGGAAGAAAAAAGATTTTGAAATTTATGTATTAATTTACTGAGGTTTTAGATTAGTGAGTTCTGTTCAATGAATTTCAGTCGCGTTATTTTCTCTGCATTCAGTTAGTTATTTGATTTTTAATGGACTATTCTTGTAGCAATCTATTTACTGTAACTTTGTGTTCAGTGACTGTTGTTCAAATAATGAAATTCTGTAACTAACAAATATAGATTATCGGAAGGGGTTTTGTGGAGATTTTAGATATTTCACTGGTTGAAATCATGAGTAAATTGAAGCTAGACCACCATGGAAAACCATGAAGCACTGGACGGCCGTTGCGTGACTGACTTCAAGAGATACTCCTGGAGTTCTTGTGAGAAGCCGTTACCAGTGGAGTTCAACCAGGTCGGTTGTGGGATATCAACTCACTGAAGACAATGGTGTACGGTGGCGCAACTTCGTGGATTGGTTGAAGTTAGACATTAACACCGTCGGATGCCGGCTCAGTGGTCTAGTTGGTTAAGCTGCTGGCGCGAGACTGATAGGTCCTGGGTTCGGATCTCGCGTGGGCAGGATCGTAGGTGCGCACTGCTGAGTCCAATACTAGGACGAAATGGCCGTCCAGTGCCTCCAGGTTTTCTATGGTAGTCTAGCTTCAATTGACTCATGATTTCAACCAGTGAAATATAGATTAATAGATATACAAGCTAGCTGATTTAAGTGTAGTCCGATTTTCCGAGGTCTCCACGAACAAAAGCTTGTATACAAACTCGGACTTCTAATTAAAGGCAGTGGACAGTTATCATCAACTGTAAGACACAACTCTAATTCCTTACACAGGTTTAGAACCCTCATTTGATCATAGATATTAGGTGGACACTCTCAAGGTCAGTCTAACTTAGCTCAAAGGTCGTCCATAAATTATCGTCTCACCGAGAAATATACTTGAGATATGGCCTAAGTGCCACGTTCAGAAATAGACACTGAAACCACAGAATTTCCTTATTTTGGGGTTTTCCTTAGATTGGGGAATTTTCCTACGTTTCCATAGCGCCTTCCACAAAACGGATAAAAAATTTCCCAGAAATAGGGAGATTGGGCTAAAATTCTAAAGTACATAATTTTTTAAGAATAAAAAAGTCCATGATTCCGTAATATTCATGTTCATAAGAATTGATGTTTAATGACGAATATAAGCATAAAACTTAAAGGCTCACAAAAATGTGACAAGTGGAACAATCAGGTGTTCTTTACGGGGCGAAGCTGCGATTAGTGAACGAACTAATCAGATATAAGATAATCGGTCATGAATTTTGACGGGAAATTCATTCATGCAGTTGGCTAAATAGCTTTGCATTATAGCTGATGTCATTTCGTGATGAAAATTCAGTCTACTTTCTAGCTCTAACCATCAACTGTAAATCATACTCCCGAGTGTTTTATAACCCTAATTTAGTCCTTATCAGGTGTCCATTCTCAAAGTCACTTTAGCGTCGCTCAAAGGTGGTTCATAAATTCTAGTCTCACCTCTTACAGTTTAAGGTATATTCTTGATTGCGAAATGGTCTTGAAAATCAAGACCAAAACATTACCTGTTACGTGTCAGTGATTAGTTTCACAAAACGCTAATACGTATATTACAGACTATATGAATTTACTAAGATATTGATATGAAAACACTTTCAACTAAGGGTTGCAACAATTAACATTCACTACCCACCAAAATGAGGATTTCACAGAGTATGATTTACATTCGTTCCTGCGTCTCCTAGATTCAATATTTTTTTGTTTTTTAAAGAAGTCACTAATCCGGATTAAATGCCCCTTTCTGATAATTTAACACAACACTACCCTATGATACTACTAATACGACGAACTCGATTGGCTGCGAATGACCTTGTAAAGGTCTTTCCAGCTAACTGGAAAATACAGGTAAAACAAACAAACAATTTAGTGCAGAAAACCATGAGAGGTTAGGCTTTGAGAGTAGGTAGAGGTTTTAAGTTAAGGTATATCAGAAGAATACACTTTATCAACAGTAGTGATTACTCAGGCATACAATTTGTTTCATTTCGCATAAGAAAGTAAAATCATTTGCTTGTGGATCCTCCGAGTTCATCTTTATTATTTTGTCATGATTATTAACACTGATGGGTTTTCTCAGACATTTAAAATGTTCAAGCTAAGTGACCATTCTCCGAGCTTCAAAAATCACGTAAACGCTATGTTAAATTCTCCTTCTTTACCAGTATATACGGTTTTGCCACAGAGAAATCAGCAAGTACACGAATAACGTTAGAAAATCGAAAACAATTATAGGTCTGAAAACTACACAGACTCGTAATGAGTCACAAATGACTGGCGTTATAGCCCTCTGCAGTCGTTTCTATAAAAGGTATTCAAAAGAAACATCAAAATTCAACATTTGTGATTGGCAATAGTTTGTTAACAATGATATCTATACTTTCAGCTTGTTGAACAATAATATAATTTGTAGGCAATATTTTCGGGGTACCAAAGTGGTTATGAAGCATGTCAGCAAATAACTGCGAGCAAAACAGGGTTCGGAATTAGAGCGGGGAATTATGACGAGAACCTGTAGTGGCATTGAACCATAACCACACAATCCACAAAGCTGAACACGACTACTCGGAAAATAGATACTCAATATTTTTGACGCGGGGAAGTACCTAACAACGGAAAAGACTGGAACAATTAGTTGAAATAATTGGAGTTCATCGGCGTGGTCCATGGCGAATGTTACCTTATATCTTTTATCCATATTAAATATATTGTTCTATCTCTAGCCTAAGCTTCTTCTCCATCATGTATTGGTAATTGTTACAATACAGTGAGTTGATGTAGACGATGGTGCGACTTCTATGTAACATCTTATAGATTAGGCAGTTATATCATGACAAGTCTACAATTTTAGGATTAGATCTATTATTAAAGCAGTACTAATATCATAGTAGACCATAATTCTACAAACCCACATTAAGAAATCGAGGATACGAATATAGATGAGAATGTTATTTACGAACCGACATAAGCTATAATGTAAACATGTGATAGCCATGTCGAGAAACTTCGTCTGAGAATTGCTTGGTCACTATGTCTAACCTGACAAGTTCGGACACAAGTTGTAATTACGAAACTTAGTCTTCGTTTATCGCTGTTATAAGTTATTAAAAAAACAAAATTCATTGCATAACTTTAAAATGATAGGAATTTGTCATTTCGTTGAACAAATACAAAAGTTTATCGGAGCACTATCCATTGGTTCTTACATTTTGAAAAAAAATTATAAAAACGATAAAAAACATACTATATGTAGTTATCAGTAGAAAGTGAACCCTGATTCGATTCCCTAGAAACTATCCAAAAAGGTTAAATGAGACAAAGCGTCTGCCACTACGGTGTTTGTCCTAGAAGTGTGCTGAATGTTACCTTATATCTTCTATTCATATTAAATATATTGTTCTTTCTCTATCCTAACCTTGTTCTACATAATATATTGGTAATTGATACGATACAGTGAGTTGGTGTAGTCGATGGTGTGACTTCCACGTAAGATCTTATAGATTAGGCAGTTATATTATGACGAATCTACAAATTTAGGATTAGATCTATTATTAAAGCAGTACTAATATCATAGTAGACCATAATTCTACATTGGTGAGCCCAACTAAAGAAACGCAGCCTATTATTGCTAATCCTTAGATCCACCTTAACCTTCTCAATCGATTTTTATTTGTGTAAATCCATTATTCTAATAGTCCTCTGATTAATGGTCACATGTATTATCGTAATGTTATATCTATTAGTTCTTATAACTTACTAGCTCAATCGATAATAAAAGTTGATCATCTATATCAACTAATTAGCTTTGATGGTTCGTTAACAAGCTTTAATAGCATTTACATGCTTCAGCGACATAGACTTGTTTAAACATCAAGCTCTAGCAAATATGACCTGTAAATAGTGTAAATATACATTGACTAACAATGCAATCAAGGATTGAATAGTTATCTGGATCTAATTCTTAGTGTTCCTTCGCCTAACACCTCATCCTGTTTTAAACTATGCACTATCCTGTAATATCTTTTCTTCCGACCACTGCCTGCCTAATTTCATATTCTCGAGTTCCATTGCCAAACAACAAGGATGACACTTCTCCAAAAACATACGATGGCTCGTTCAATAACAACCACACAATTATGTGGATTCATTCGATTGTTCTGATCCGAGCGAGTGGCAAAAACCTCAACAGCATCAAGCACCATGGAAGTGATTGCCATACTGCATGTTTTATTCTGGATACTTTTGGATCATTACTACTCCTTACGAATGGCGTTATATATGTCGTACACTGAATAATCTAATTTTCAAGAATAACCCAGGCGAGTTCAGTTATTTTACTTAATGATTTTTTTGTACTTAACATGTATATGTTTTCTAGTTGCTTTTGCCATATTTTTGTAAGTGTCCGTAGGCTAAATGCGGTTCATAACGCATCATATTCCTGCCTGAAGTTTCACAAGCAGTCTTACCTTTAAAATTATTTTCTGGTCATCTTCATTATTTTTAAATCGTCATATACGTCAACAACCTGCTTGTTAACCTGGCCCATACATACGTTACACTATATCTCCATGTCTTCTAAATTTAGAAATCATCTGAATCGCCTTTAACAGTTATCAATAAACCCATCATAGTCGTTGTAGCTAATCGTATTTGGGTTTATGGATTGGTTTGTCATATTAGCAGCCTAAAATGCGAACATAGTTTAGATAATAAGATGAAAGATTTAGGTACTATCAACTGCACTAGTAAAATAACTAAATCCCCAGGTAGCTGTTGGTTAAACAAACGTTTAAAATCAAAACTCCGTAGCCTACTAGAATTAACACTAAACGAATCTTTCTGAATTAAAATTTATAATTAAATTAGGTGTCTCGGATTCTCTAACGTTATAAGTTTCTGATGATTTTGAATCACCTAAAGCAACAATACCTATTTTTCCACTGACTAATCCTCAATCAACACTATAACTAGTTAAATTTAATAATTTCAGGATATCGTCATAAAGCATTGTCATAACTTGACAATCACGTAATATGACTGATGAAATTAATGAAACTATTAACGAAATCGGTCAACAAATTGACTTATAATTACCATTAAATGGTGTTGTTTTCTTGGTATCTTCATCCATCACAGATGATTACAGTATGTTTCTCTATAAGTTGTTCATTCAGTAAATATCTCAAAACCTTGTCAGTCTAATTGATGGTTTAGCGATACAATCATGCATGCTGATGATCTCAAAATAGTGTAGTGGCATTGGACCATAACCACACAATCTTCAAAGCTGAACACAACACTACTCGGAAAATAGATATTCAATATTTAACAAGGAAAAATACCTAACGATGGAAAAGGCGGGAACAATGAATGGAATGAACTGGAGTTGATCGGATGGCATGACACTGCCATGCAGGCGTGGTCTCTGCTGAATGTTACCTTATATCTTCTATTCATATTAAATATATTGTTCTTTCTCTATCCTAACCTTGTTCTACATAATATATTGGTAATTGATACGATACAGTGAGTTGGTGTAGTCGATGCTGTGACTTCCACGTAAGATCTTATAGATTAGGCAGTTATATTATGACGAATCTACAAATTTAGGATTAGATCTATTATTAAAGCAGTACTAATATCATAGTAGACCATAATTCTACATGTCTACAGTCCGTTCTGCCATATTATTTCTCCAGTTTCTGGGTGTTGCCCTTTGGGTTTGTGTTGGAGCTAAACTGAAGTAGGTGTCCAAGGGGATGTCCGGAAGTGCTATGGATACTGTAAGCAACTAGAAGGTCACCTCTATACTCTAAAGGGTAAAGGTTTTGTGATTGGAAACGCTCTGCATAAGGCTTGAATTTGAGTCTCCGAGCTGATTTCGTGGCTCGCCTTTGGATACGATCCAGAATGCACTTATCCTTTTGGAGTGAGGAAGGAAATAATATGTTTCCGTACTCTAAATGGGGACGAATAAAACTGTTGAAGATTATGTGGAAGGTTTTTCCATCAAGCCTGCCTAAAATGCACTTCAATGTTCTCAGTGCAAGGTCTGCTCGAAAGGTATTTTTGTCACGGCTATTGTGAGACTTCAAATCGCAGGGTACAAGCATTCCTAATTCTTTGTCAACTTGGGATACTTCTATAGAGGAGTTTCTAACGTTGTAGCTGTTGTCTGCAACATGTCTCAGATAGACTACTTCACACTTTGAAGTGTCAAAGGTAAGTCCATTGTCATCTGCCCAACTTTGGAGTCGAGTCAGATCCTCATGAAGTGCCAGTATATTCTTCTGGTTATCCCACAAACCATAAGTTTTTGTTCAGTGTAAGATTCAATGCCATGCTCGTTTCTATTCCGAAGCTCCTATAATTTAAATATAACCATTAGTACTCTATTCTTCTTCACCGATGCTTCGATTCGACATAATCAAATTCTTTGATTGTTTGTGCGGTGTGACCATATCTGTCATATGCTAACTTATATATCTTTTTACATTAATTTGAATCAAGAATAAATGATGTGGCATCCCAGTCGTCTTGTCTTCCCTTTTACAAGCTTGTCAATTATTGAGGTGTTATAGTAGTTTTATTTTTCTGTGCTCAAGTTCGTTACTCTAAACTTGGACTCACACATTTCTAACCCCAAGTTTGAACCGGTTAGCTTACGTTGTTAAGACCTTGACCTGGATCGAGACCAGTTTTCTCTTGTATATTATTGAGCAGACATCTCGAGAATGTAACAGACATACATTTAACGCGTTCTTCATAGTTAAATTTCTCTTCGTGCCAATTGTTTAATATAAGTCTTTTCAGTTAGTATATGCTCGGCTTCAAGGGTCGTGTGGATAGGGTCCAATGCAGCTAAAGAAAAACGATGTAGTTTTTAAGATGACACTGCTTTTTGAAGACTAGGGATAGTTTTACGGTGAATGCGTCAAACCTTTTCTGAATAAGAAAGAGATACTTCACAACAAAGTCAATGTTAGTATCTGAGCTGTCGAAAGTCGGAATACCCTATTTATGCTCTATAAAAAGTTGAAGGGAGATGATATTGAATTTGGGATAGCAAGGCGTAACATCTACAGAGGGATAATGTGGTGTTTGAATAAACTAATGATTCCTTCGTACTTGTTAAATGCTTGATTTCGAATTCCAAATACAGTACATTCGTTTGTGCTTATCTAGTACTTCTTGATCCTAATACGTTATTTCTGGGATTCTTAGTTCATACTATAATTCAAATACTGCTAATCATCATAGATAGTAGAAGTAATTTCATTGAATTATGTTGCTGCGAGTGGAGAAGAGTTTATAGGATTTTATGTAAATTGATATTCGACTAATACAGTCTACTTATGAGACCTAAGTTTTGTCTCCTGGAAGAAGATTCCTCATAGAATAGTTGGTACGAGAAGTCAGTGATCTGTTGAGTTACTGAGGTGGTGATCATCTGTGAAGGCTTGGTCGTTCTCCACAATATGTTTGAATATGAACATGGTGGATTTCAAACAATCACGTCTGAACAGAGTCGAACTTCTACCATGATATCAGATTTGTTCGAGCCTTCTTTCAAAAATTCGCTCTGGTTTTTCCAATTATCACTAAAACTCTGGGATAAACAAACCTAGGAGTTTTCCGTTTGTGTGATATAGTTTATAATGAATTTCGATTGCAATCCAGTTGAAAGGTTCTGAATCAGTATTGAGGAAATGACTGTCTCTCCTTTATCATGACAGCATGGGTCAATCTCCACAGTATGAGCTGCAACCGTTTCGATTATCTGTACTATGCTTGGTGCTAAAAATATTCCTAAAAATTCTCCGAGATCTTGAAATTGTCTTAGGTCAGCGGCGTTAGATTGGCTCTCATGGGACGTATAGAGTTAGCAGTGGTACATTAGGAATAGAGCGGCTGATTCGGACAGCTAAGTCTACAGAACAAATACTTGGTTTGGGCAAAATGTTGACAACCTGTCGTGTAGATTTTGGTGAATAACTCATACATTTTCTATACGGTTAAATATTTTATGCTGATTTTAAGCTAGCAAAACGAAATTTCATATCACGTACTTCAACTTGGAGTTTGTGCTTGTGCTATATCAAAGTCCTCTAATTATTGAG